GCAAGACTTTTTTGACAAACTAATATATCGATAAGAGAACCTATGGTTGAGCTTTGAACTAAAATATCGATCAATATGTAAGATATTTCATTGAAATTTAGGGAAAGTCCTTCTCTGGCAATGATATGTCTGTATATCAAAAATGGATTAAATGGGGCCAAGATATCTCTTAATCCCCATATACCTAATATAAAGATTTTCGAACTTCCAATATGTGAGTTATGTCAATAAAAATGATACAGCGTGTTTCACTCATAACAGTGTATCTTTGTACCTAAAATAGATAAATTTCAGCGAATACTTGACTTACCCCCCATATAACTAACATCAGGATTTTTGTACTTCCGGTTATTAGTACCTATGGATACTACCCCAACTCCCATATACTACAAATTGTCACCTGAAATGCAAAATAACGTAACAACATTTTCGAAAAATTCCAGTGGCATGAATGCAACATGAATTAAAATGGAACATGAGTGAAACAAAATTTTAATATTGGTTAAAACTGGCTTATGTCTGACCGCAGAACCTGACAATGTTGAACATACATACTTATGTAGTATTATGTATGTAATTTGAAGTAGTGAAGCTTAATCAATAAGACACTCAATTTCGAATTTTTTGACGATGCGTTATTTTGCATTTCGTTTTTCTAACAAACTGTTCGAGTTATATGCACTATACGTACATATGTATATATAAAATTATAAATATATAAAATTACTTTGATTGATCCTCTGGTTGACGTTTTACACCTTAAAGTATTTCTCTAGCTTTGATTCTTGCAAGTTGTATAAAATGTTCGGTTGCACCCGAACGTAACCCTTCCTTACTTGTTTCTTTTTATTTCATTTAAATTAAATAATTTCAAATTCTACATTGCACGCCATTCCCAAGAGTTAAATTTTTCTTTACGGAAATAAATATCGCATTCTGTTCGTATATTCATACATATACGTATAACAAATTTGTATATGATGTAAGTATAAATGCCTCATGAAATTAGATGAAAGCAATGCATAAAAGCATATACATTTAGATAAACACATATTTATGTATAGTGAGTATGCATTATATATCTATTTGATCATACAAGCCATATACAAACATAGTACGTTGTACCATATATTCCAGTTCACACATTTTACGCACTGAATACTCAGCTTTCAAGCTTTCATATGTACAGTCCAGAATAAAATAATACACACGATCGTTTTTCTTGGAATTTTGGATTGATCGGGATGCTCCTTCCATGTAAATCGTATACATTAATCAAAAATTACTGGCAGCCACGAGAAACTCCTCCGATTTGTGATCAGATATCAAGACAAATGTTACCTATATAAAAGATGCTGAAACTAGAGAAACTGTAGAGTTAGTTTTTTGGCATATACTCAATACTTTATGTATCGACAGCCTTGAAAAGGATTTGATAAAGCATTCTCAGCCAATAGAAAGCATCCAATGGTGTAAAGCTATTTAACATAACGTTGCAATCCAGGCGGGGTTCGCATAAATGAATGGAAATCTCAAACCCGCAACTATAAACAATTGGAAAGTTAACGCTATATAAAACACACGACTGTAGCAGTAAGATGATATGTATGCAATTCTTTTCTATTTGCCAATCATCAGTTTCCACCTATAATTTTTATTAATTATTCAATATGCTCCATTATAGAATATGCACAGATCAAACAGTATTTCATTGTTCTCCAGACGTTGCACATCTTCAAAGACAGCATCGCTTTAGCTAACGGTTCTCACTCACTATGCTTTTCAAGGACCATAAGCTTCTTGTCATTATTGTCAATACCTTGGTGATCGGATTCATAATATACACAATGATCGTTTTCAGTTAAATGTAATCGCAAAACCAAATTTCGTATAAATAAATGATCGTTATTGTACATTACAAAAACGTAGTGAATTGCAGTATTTATTTTACAACAATTGGGGCTGGGTTAGAAAACTACACAGCAAGATAGTGAACTATTGCTAACAAACGGCTATCATGTAAGCTTCTTATTGTTATTGTACGAGGTAGGGAAAAGCGAAGAAGTCGCAACAAAGGACCTGTTTTTGCAAGAGTATGCATGAGTATCTGCATATTTCTTAAATCGAAAACTTTGCATCTTTGTCAATTAGCCTAACCCTCTGAAATAGTAGGTTTTTGGCAATTTAATGATTAGCTTAATAAATACGATGTAAGCAAGTTATGAGCTGCCCTGTCAAACCTATGCTGTATGTAGTATATACGAACTGATATTTGCCGAGTGCACCTTCACAATACGTAGTCTATAATAGCGAGAGTTTGAGCATTCATACATTCCCACAGAAGACGTTTCTGTTTCTGAAGTCAAAGAGCACGTAGTTATTAGAGATTGCAGGGGAATTTTTGCTTAGGAGATAAGCATCTAACTAGAAACTATTTTCTTTTCAATATGTCATATTGCAATAATAAATTTTCAAACATCGAGAAGAATGGATCGCAAAGTAGTGAGTATTTTTCGGGACTGCAATGTGTATTCGCTTTCCGCTTGTGAACCCCAGAACCCTTGTTCCGGCGAGTCCCACGAATATTGCACCAACTTAGAGAATCCATGTGAGCGATCTTCTAAAAATGCTATTTGGGTGTGTGAAAATTGCTATCAGTCAACCGCTGAAAGTGTTAGTCATGAAAATAATGATTGCAAGTCCAAATCGAAATCACCGAATCAAATTGAAACAAGATACGCTAATTTACTAGACTTAGAAAAGCGGATAGAGGCACTGGAGACACATCGAAAAGCATGTTCGGATTTGGTACAAAGAGGTGAGTTGCAATATGCAATCCGCACTTATTTACAGTAAAACTGAACTTTAGAACTCTACTGTTGGATATAGTAAAAGCACAGTGTCAACTCACTATTTGCTTCTAAACGCCGAACAAAAAAATTTAATTCCAAATTTTAAAAATTTCCACGAATGATCGCTGAACTATCTTTAAAGTAAAATATTGATTTTCATTGTGCATATTAGCTTATTACACGGGCATAAGTATTAGAACCGGTCGATTCTTTCTATAAAATCGCGCGTGCGGGAAATGTTCTACGGGCCATTCTGAACAACTTTTCCTAAAAAATATGGGTCTAAATATCTGAATTATCGGTTGTATGGGATATATGATATGTGGTATAGTCGACCGATAGTTCTATAGTTTCTTAAGCAAAGTTGTGCAGAATAATCCGTAGAACATTTCTTCGTGTCACCTTGAAAATCGATTAATTATAATATGATATGTCGAGTTTTGAGACTATAACTTTATTTCCGATTTTTGCCTCGTTCCAGCCACTGACGCCGAAGAAAAGGGTTCAGCCACGCAACAGAAAGCAGCGCATGCATCCATGCTTAATCGGCGAGTGGTCATCCCTATTGCAGCTATAGCATTGTCAATAATATTAATCGGACTGCTGTTGTTCCCTGGAAGGACTGGATTTTTCAATGAAAACAAAGGGTCATTGCAAGTGATTCCAGTAAATGCAACCCTGGGTATTAACACAAACATACTACATACTAACACAAACAAATTGACAAAGTCAATTGTTGTAAACTTTTAGCACTGTTCGAAAAATTCTGAAAACTGTGGATAATTTCTCTGTATTTGAGTGGAAATCAATAACTATGATTCCTATTCAAATAATCTTTTAAATCATTACAAATTACATTAACATATGTAAGTTTCTATAACACCTGATTCCAGGACCTCGCCCAAACTCGCTTTTGTTAATTAGTAGAGATGAATGGTCTGCACAGACTGAGCGAGACGGAATGCATAAACTGCTGCTCCCAATAGAACGGATCATTATTGCACATATTTCAACAGCACAATGCGAAAATAGGGTATGTCACAAGTGAATACATGTTTAGGAGATATATATTATATATAGCATAATAAACGTCTAAATATTTACAGGTCGAGTGTGATGCCCGAGTGCGAGATGTGCAAGCTTTTCATATACATTCAAATGGTTGGGGCGATATCGGTTATAATTTTCTAATTGGTGGCGATGGTCTAGTATACGAAGGTCGAGGCTGGTACAACCAAGGCGCCCACACTACAGGCTATAATGGAAATAGCATCTGTATTGCATTCATCGGTATATTTAATGTAGAAGTGCCCACAGAAAACGACTTGAAAGCAGCTCAATTACTCATCGATGAAGGAGCGAGGTTGGGAGTGCTCACGGCAAACTACCGACTTTACGGAGCCCGACAGCTAAGCGCCACCGAAAGTCCCGGAAAAGCCCTGTATAGCATAATAATGAAGTGGCCACACTGGAGTAGAAGCGTTTGAATAAATGTCAACGATTTGATAATCATATTATATTTAAGACTTCTATTAGTATTAGAGACCAAAATAATAAATATAATCATATTCGCTGCACTCGTATGTTAATGATTTCCTAAGATTAGCATGCAAATTTGCTCAAAATTTGTTTATGTTTATCGTAGTTAGAGCAGCACAGAACTGTGTCCCATTTAATGATAATTTTTAAGTGTTCTTGTTTTTATTGGCGTAGACACCGTTTACGTGGTAAACTCCCCAATCGTTTTTCCTTTTCGCTGTTGGGTTACAATTGGAGACTCCAAGTGTCCAGGTCCTTCTCCACATGGTATTTCCAACGGAGTGGAAGTCTCTTTTTCTTCTGCTTCCTCCGGCGGTTTCTCTCGAAAACGCGTAACGCTGACTCATCAGATGTTGTCAGAAACGATTTTACTTCTCAGTTGCCTACTCAGTTCGAAGTAGCAATAGTTATTCCTCGTTGGATTTCGATGCTGACATTGTAGTAGGCATTAATTATGGTTGCAAAATAGAAAAAAATACGCCAGCAAAAGTACAATCTTATAGAAGATTCTACCGTCCCTCTTTAGCTCTGCAGGTCGAACTATTTTCTGCAGGAATAGATTAAATAAGTCTCACGATAAGGAGTCGCCTTGTTTGGAACCTCGTTTGAACGACTCGGAGAGGTCCTTTCCAGTCCTGACGGAGCTTTTGTTGTTGCTCAACATCAGCTTACACAGTCTTATTAGTTTTGTGGGGATATCAAGTTCAGACCTAGCGGCAAATAAGCAGCTCAGTCAAAAGATGCTTTGAAATCGACTAGGTTGGGGTGTATCGACCCTCTTTTCACGGTGCTCTTTCAAGATTTGTCACATGGTGAATATCTGGTTAGTCCAGTGTTCCCTGTTCCAAATAATGCTTATGTGTACATGCATTGGTTAACATGAAAATACTTTGAATGTGCTGGAGTTTCGATAGTCGTGACTTGCTGGGGAATGTCATTGTTTTTAAAGAATACAATATTGGAAGAGACTTACTTTAAGTGTGGGCATATTTAGAATTAAGTTCACTTTACTCAAGCCAAATGTAAATTGTTTGACATCTTGCATTTTCACTCATATTCATAACAAAACAAAAATGTGTTCAAAGTCTGGAAATGTTCATTTAAATTAGCTTGCAAAGATATCGTTTTGTAATAAATATTAGATAATTTCAATATTCACGAATTTGCAGGTTAGTTTTGAGGATTAAAACTTCGCAAACATATAACGAATGTAAATTACGAACGGTGCCAAACCAATAAAAGAAAAAAATCTTAGCCTAAATCTTAACATTCAAACAAAACCAAATCCTATGCAAAATAATGGACGTTACGGAGGCTCAAATGGAAGAAGGACAACAGAAAGGAAAAGAAAACTTCAAAAAGAATTTAATTTTTCTAGCAATTTTAAATGCATTTGTGCCAATATTTATAATAGTTGTATCAATTTTTAAATAAATAGTATGTTTATACACTTGATATGCCTCAAAACTAGATATGGCAGTATGAAGCTGCCAAGAAGACTGCGACCTGTGTGAGCATCCGTATTTGTAGCACACCTTGCTTGTGGTATACCAGAAACATCGTCAAGTCTGCTGAGACGATTTCGATAGTGGACGTTAATCACCATTGTGAACCTATTTTCAACAATTTGAAACATGCATATAAACATATGAGTATATATAAGAACCACAGCAGCATCCCGATTTTACTTTTACTACTATATGTAATTTCAGCCAGCATACGTATATAAGTAGCTGCCGTTGAAGACAACCCTACTTACCTATATCACACAACCATACAATATATTTTATATGTATGTACACAGGAATGGAATAAATGTAACGCCTACGGATTTCTCGTTGCAAAATGTTCAATTATAACATATTCTGTTATTATTATTGATATTCGTTTTGCAAAACCCCCGTACATTATGCCCTGGTGCTCACACACAAAAAAATTTCAGGCGACTGTGTGAGTGCTTAATAACAATGATGTATTCTCGTAACTCAATTCAGCTTGCGCACACTCGTATTTCCTGCTAAAGAGACGAAGAGCGGCTTGGTTTTGGGCTTTTCTAATAGAAAATAATGACGATATCGGGAAACAGAAAAAGTACCAAGGGTTATCTATCGGCTGCTTGAGTAGAGTAGAAATTCAAATCATTCACAAAAAAATTTAAATTCATCGATACAGTTGTGTTCATAATGATAGCAGTGCTATTGGGGAAATGCTTCACTAAATGGCACTTCTAATAAAGCATCGATGGGCTTGGAAATTGAAGAAAATTTACCCGAAAGAGAGAATTGAACAGAATTATATGCCTAGGATTTACAATGGAATAAATTGGTCGAAATATCATTGAATTTACTATTATTATTTTCAAAGAATAATGAAAAAGATAAAATTTCCAAGTACATGTAGTTCCTGTGACTTACAAAATAAATTAAAATTGAAACGCTTAAAAGGCTATTGTTTTCCTGAATTCTCGTGAACACTGCTATTGCCATGAACACTACTGTAACCGGCGAATTCACTGACGGTTCTGTAGTTCCAAATTTAATGTCCCTCCAGGTGTGTTTCGCATACCACTCATAGGAAGTCACCAACAGAGGTGTAATGCTCGGTCAAGATCAGAAGCCAAAGCAAACCGTGATGGGGTTAACATTGTTCGATTCATTCTCACGTATGCCATTGTTTAGCACAATTAATTTGACTACAAATTTGCAATACTCAGATACAAGTTCATTTTCTATTACATACATACATATGTATGTACAAACGATTATGCATCTAACTATACATCTATGTATGCATGTGTACATATATACACAAATACGTTTACTCATTGTCTTGAGATAATGACTGTCGAGTACTTTTTCCCCCATTCGTCCAAATAGTAGCTGTGCTGTAGCCAACATTGCCAGTATATTTGTAGCGCTGTCTTCCAACGTAGCGATCGTGCATAGTAAAATGTATCCAATCACAAAGTGCTTGGTAAGCCATCTTCTCTTATTCACAATCTTCTCCGCCTTCGGGATAAAAACAACAGTTGCCGATCCAAATATTATAAGCAAATCACAATGAAACGGCGTTGAGTCGATTAATGAGCTCGGTAAGCAGGCATTGCCTATTGGACGCATAATTATTCTACACACAGCTGGTGCAGGTTGTCAAGATGTGGTAAGTTAATAATTTGCGACTTTAGTACTTCTAAGGAAGTTGGTGAATGTCCTCTTAACATAAAATTTATCTTTCACTAATTTAGGATAGCTGTTCGCAACAAGTGCGCAATATTCAAAAATATCATCTGGACTTACATTTCGATGACATTGGATACAACTTTTTAGTCGGCAACGATGGGAATGTATATGAGGGGCGGGGTTGGGATCTAATGGGAGCTGCCGTTAAAAACTACAATAATGGTAGCTTGAGCATGGCATTCATTGGGACATTTGAGAATGATCCGCCTACAGACCAAGCTTTAGAGGCTGCTCAGTCTCTGTTGGAAATGGGTGTACGCACGGCCAAATTGACGGAAGATTACAAGCTGTTGGGGCACCGTCAGCTAGCGTCAACCCTCAGTCCGGGGGCCGTTTTATATAAGATCATTAAGCAGTGGCCTCACTGGACCCGTAGAGCACGATAAAGCATAACATCATTTAATTATAAAATTAAAGCGTTTGTAACACAGGCGATTTGAACTAGACACTCCTGAAGAGAGCAAATATGCCTTCAAGTATAATAAAAATAAGCGTGGGTAGTCGGTTTCATGCCAGTTATTGCCAACGTTTTATTTTAATTTTATTTTCACATTTCTATTGGAAAATTCAGTAAATGTATTTGCGTACATCTTGGCATTAATTAATTATAACAAAAAAAAGAAAAAATCTTCCGTTTCTATTTAACGGTTTTCTTAAATAAAATTATATGTAATTCAACAAACGTAAGTATGTATTTTCTAAAAGTGCTGAAAGTAAAATTGCCTGCTTATTAAATAAATTAAAATGTAGTTACATCCAAATGGCAAACTATGTACAATGCAGCTGATTTTCACACTTATTTTACCCGTATTTTACACATTAGATTCGAGCTACTTTATCTGTATTTGTGTAATTTATAGGCTAATCCTCCATTATAATGCTGCATATCTAATCAAGACAAAAACTATAGAAGTAATACTCTACCGTCTTTTACTTTTATTTTAGTGGAATCACAATTTTGCGTAGTTTTCGATGTCTCTTACGCATTACTACTACTATGTCTATTTTGGTTTTAATGTGTGTTCTTACTGTATTTTTCCACATATTTCGTCTAAACGTTTTATTATATGATCTCTGTTGGCTGCACCTAATTGTGAGTCCCCTTTCTGGTTATGTAAATTTTGAAAACAATTAGTCATTGTAACTTTTGGAGTGTAGTCTTCATTAAAGCCATGCTCCTCTTCACTTGCTATCAGTATGCAATCATCGTCCACCCAATCATTTCGTAATGCTATATTTTTCGTCTGCGTAAAGAATCCACGGTCTGTTTTTCGGAGGAAGTTATACAACGCTACACAGCCGAGTATAATTTTACGACCGTTTTCCTCATCAATCCGCAGAGGTTGTGATAATATGGGAAATATATTAGCCAGCATACGCAATGCATTTTCGGTATGCTTATTTACCGTACTCATGACATTATTGTAATTAACTCGCGAGTTATTTGGCACATCGGTTGGTCCGCTCAAGAGATAAGGCTTCAAGGGCAAACCAGATTTACTTGCAAAATAGTAAGATTGACTAATGTCATCTTGTGCTTCGTAACTCACTGGCAGTTTTACCTCATTTTCAATTAACTGTCTAAATGTGGACTTCTCATAAATATCGTCAAAAGCTTCCGCCTGAGTCTTCTCGACATCGATATAAAGGAAGTTATCATTAATATCTACTATTGATGTGAATATGAGTGGTTGTTTGTTGATAAAGTCTTTTTGCTCCTCGGCCCGCGATGAAGAATGGAATCTGATTTGTTGCATGGACAAATTGCCAGCACAATTCAGCACACGGTGTTTGCGTTGAAACTCGTTCGCCACATTTTGCCATTGCTCATCAGTCTTTGGTAGTGATACAAATGGATCCTTGAGTAATTCGTATATATTGAGGCATATGTTGGCTATCATTTTTAGTATCACAGGTTTCGAGGCACGGAAGCAATAGTTACGACACGAATGTACTTCACCTAAAAATATTTAATAATAAGAATGTGTTATTTAGAAGGTACTCTTACATTTTTAAATGCACATTTGAAAGCTTTTTCTATACTATACAAGCTGAACTGGCAATATACAACAATAAAGGAATTATTAAAGGAATTTATATGATAACGGTTGGAACTTTTCCTTTTTATTTTTGTTTTACATAAATTCTAACATTTTATTAGTTATAGTTGGATAACCCTTATTTTTTTTTTTTTTTTTTTTTTTTTTTTTTTTTTTTTTTTTTTTTTTTTTTTTTTTTTTTTTTTGTTACTAATTTGTAGTATTAATAGCTTCTGTTAATATTTATGAAGAAAAAACGAATTGAGAAAGCATTCACCAGAACTTACCCGTTGCCAAATACTTAAGTGTAATAGCAATTCGCTCTTCTGCACTGAATGATTTCTTCTTTCGATGTGGTTCATAGGAACTTATAACTGGAGATAGTTTTGTCACCAAATAACGAAACTGTCTTTCTGTTATGTTGAAGAAGCAATTGAAGTGATATATTTCGTTACTTCGGAAAAGTATTTCTTTTCGTAGGTTTTCTTTGCTCAGTAATTCAGCTTGATTTTTCTTCAGCCATTCCTTTGTCCACTCCAATCGTCGTTTACAATTCAATATTCCGGCCAAGTCCAAAGCAGACATTTTTGGTAATTGTCGAGCAAGTGTTGACGCTGTAGTGTTTCGGTTAGTTGGTGCATAATTTCCACCCCCTCCACCACCATCGTCTTTCACATCTTCTCCTTGGCTAACAATAGCAACATTACCACCGACACTATCCGTAATTGCAGTTGTAAGAGTCATCACACGACATACGCCATTTCCATTATCATTTGCAATACCTTCGCGTTCACGTAGTACGCCTATAGTTTTAATTTTCAATTTTTCCATATTTCGTATTTATTTTAGTTTTACTCCCAGTTTTTCCTGAATGGGCTGACGTGCTGGCGAACTTTTCACAGAACACGAGCCCAAAAACGAAATCGATTTTCGTTTTCAAGTATCGTTGAAACACACGCCTTTCGATTAAATACAACGGGGAAAGATCACAAATAAACAATTCTTTCGTTCAATCCATATGTGAAATTTTGTTTATTATTAATATAGGGCCGATTAGGTGTGGTCAATCTGATTAAGGATAGATATTTTTATTTGATTTTTGCCAACCTGCTTTTTTCTTGGAATGTCGAACCAACGAACTGCGAGCAACACAAGGCGACCAACAACAAATATACGCACAGAAAAATGGCAGCAGCCAGCACAAATGTACACACACGTCGGCTGATCGGCAATATTGCTTGAGTTGTTGCTATTTAGTTTGCTTCCGTACCCGATTATGCACCAGCTTTAAATATTCATAAATAAATATGACTTTACTGATAATGTTACTTTACTTTTGCACTTTGCGAAATACTTCCATATAAAGTGGAGAAATATGAATCAATTGTATTAAAACAGCCAACCATTTACTGTTTTTTACGCTTTTTTCAAACGTTCGATCAGAATTCGTGTGGAAAACGAATTCGGTTTCATATATCTTGTTTTCGTGATAACAGCTGTTTGCTGCTCAGCTGACGCACAGAGCAGGGTTGAAATTTTTTCCAAAAAGCTGCAATAACTGTATTACCAACTTTTTCATTTATGGCACCAAACTTGGACAAATAAATTAAAATATGAATGACCCTGTTTCGGTGACAATTTCATTAATTTGAGACTTTGGGTATGTTCAACCTGAAAATAGGGATATATCCGGAAATGATATAGTATACCATATCAAATTTTTGCTTACTATTACACTAACTGCGTTTGAATTTTACAAAGTGTATTGAACAAAGTGAAATAAGTATATCACATTTATGTATATCATCATTGATTTAACCCTTACATGAAAAATTCAAAAGTATATAAATTTCAAACGAAAAATAAAATTTTTTCGATAAAAAATAAAAGCCGAATACTTGCTGCTTGTGCAAAATAACTTATGGATGCAACTTACCAATGTTTTGTGTTCCATCGGACAAATGTAACGAGAGACGGCAAAGAGTATGTGTCGTGCAACCCACTTTGTCATTCAGAATATGTGGGCTACAGAAAACCTTCTTCTAATAAATCGGAAAAACACGCATTTTAAACAGTTGATTTTTTAAACTTTCAATGCAAATATCTCAAAAACCATAAGTCAGCGGCAACTATATGGATATATATATTCTTGATCTGGAGGACCTCCTCTATCCGTACATACGCATTTTAAACCTGAAATCCGTGGATGTTATTCTAAATCGCAGCCCATGATTCTATGCGAAAACCTGATTTTGATCAGCTACTTTGTATAGCAGCTATGTGTATGCTATATTGGTCGGATCTGAACAGTCTTTTGCAAATGTACCGTTTCATCCAGGCCAATTTCGTAAAGATATTTCGTACAATAAAAAATTTTTCCAGACAAGGACTGGAATTTGATCGAGCAGTTTGTATGGCAGCTATATGCTTTAGAGGTCTGACATCAGTGGTTCCGAACGAAATCAACAGCTTCTTGCAGAGAAAGGAATGTGTGCAAAATTTCAGACTTCATCAATCGTCGCTGACTTGTTGACATAGACCATAGACTTAACGTAGCCCGTGACGTCGTCCTGCTGGAAACATTTATTATCCAAGTGCATATCATCCGAATCGGGCCAAAAATATTCGATTATCATTGAGCGGTAGCGATTCCCATTCACAGTAACGTCCCGGTCTTGATCATCACGGAAGAAGTTCAGCCAAATGACGCCGCCGGACCATAAACCGTACCAAACCGTAATATTCTCGGGTTGCAGTACTGACTCATGGAGTACGTGTGAGCTGCTGCCTAGCCAATAATGCATATTTTGCTTATTTACGAAGCCATTTAGCCATAAATAAGCATCATCGATAAAGATGCTTTTTCGATGAAAATCCGGATCATCCCCAAACACCCCAAAACCCCCCTCCCCCTGCGTTCGCCCCTGCACAGAGATGTGCAACGGTTGAGAATGACGTGGGAAAAACTGATCTGGTTCTTCCTCAAGTGATGCGCTAGCGGCAGAAATATTTTCGATACTACGGACACTTCTTTGTCTCACTGGATCGGGAACATTTGGTACTGTGCCTGTGTGAAACTTTTCCAATAGACCCTCAATTATTGATCTGACAGCACAATTATGACGGCCATGAATTCGTTGTTGAATCGTCTATCTTTCCATGATGAAATGGCAAACCTTACTGAAGACTACTTTTGTAGCGTTTCTTTTGAAAAGCCTGTTACAAGAAAAAATTTTGTGTATTTGAACCGCATCAGAAACCTAGCTAAGTGTATTTAACTCGTTTTCAATTATATCGTTCATCCACAAGTGGTTATTGTAACCGGTGTATTCCTTTTCGAATATTTCCCTATTATTTATAACGTATGAATGTAAGTGATGTTTCTTATTTGAAACAATATATTGTTTGTCAAGAAAGTATTGCGGTATTTTTGCGGTATTTTTATTGAATTATCAATTGTTCATAAAGTTTTTTTTTTACGACTCATGCCCAGCTCTTGACCGATGCTATGGCTGCTACTATGCCGGTCTCTTTCGACCAATTCAGCGATTTTATCGCTATTTCCGACGATAGGCCTTCCGTAGCGTGGCGCATCTTCGTCCACCTCTACACCAGAACGAAAACGTTGTAACCATCGTTGTGCGGTGGAAATGGAAACTGTATCGGGTCCATAAAGTGCACAAATTTTATTGGCGGCTTGAGATGCATTTTTGCGTTTATCRTAGTAGTACTGTAAAATATGCCGTATTTTCTCTTTATTTTGCTCCATGTTTGCGACGCTATAACTCACGAACGACTTAAAAGAAACGACAATCAATCGAACACTTGTTAGCGCGTAAAATAAGCTTTCCAAAAAGGTATAGCATGACTCGATGCGACGAATAAATCTAGAACTACGCGCTCTCAGCGCCAACCTAATATTTCGCCATATTTTATAAATTCAATTGTATGTACGTTAATGTTTGTGCTTTTGTTGTTACAGCGGCAGAATTTTGCCGAGTTGACAGTCCTTGATGGAGTAGAAAATCTGGTTCCGTTCCGGTTACGTATAACCAACTGCCGTGGGAACGGAACGGAAATGTATGTCTCAACAAGGCACCACTAACGAAACTCCAATGCATTGAATGAACTAACGTGGAAACTAAAATATACATACCGTGCAACTTCTAAGTCCCACGTGTAAGAAAGGTCTCATGTACTCGAGTGTTTTGGTTAGTTTTGTAACTTCGGCCTTCAGAATCATAAGAACTTTAACATAAACCTCTCTTGGATAATCAACGAGGGTTTTAACAAATAGTAGACTTGGAGGGGTATTTAATATTACTGTGTGCAACTGACTTACTTTCATTTTAACAATTAAGAAACACGAGAAATATAGTGTGTATTAGATTAAGCATTTATTTGGTTAATCGTAGCCTTGTGTGTTGCATTACAAATATGCTGTGTCCTCTCATGCATCGATAGGAAATGCATTATTTTACGTTAATATTTAATTTGCAATAAGTTTGACTAATATTATAATAATAATAATTGGTAATACATGCATTTTGTTATGTTTGTATGAATGTATGTGTGTGTGTGTGTGCATTGTTACATATATATGTACCATCAATATTGTACTTAATTTATTTTAATGTATATATTAAATTTAAATTAGTAAGATGCTTAGGCTTTAATCGCCCTCTTTTGGATTAAAAAATTAAAAAGACAAAGTCACTTTAAAAGCATTTTTTTTTTATTATTATTATTATATTTTCTTATTAAGGCATCATACATATGCAAACTTATACGCATGTATTCCATTGAAGCAGCTTAAACTAAGTTACATATGAAAGACTTATACATTCAAATAAGTTTTAAAAAATATTAAATACACTACAACGTTAGTAAACCTTCCATCTTTATAATCTGCCATTTTAATATAATTTACCGCATACAGTTTACATAATCAAAAGCATCGTAGAAAATTTCACTTTTCCAAAAATTACATACCGTTAAAATAGCAACAAGTATACATGTTTGTATAATAAAGTTTTTCATTCAAATTTTATTTCACATTTAGTTTTTACTATTAAAAGCCAAGTAACGAAAATAGATGTATGTATGTATACATTTAACAGATAATACGTACACTTAAAGAGAGTCCCTTTGTTGTTTCTCATTAGCAAACCAAATATAATAAGTACATTTGATAAATTTGTATAAACTGTCAAATTTGTATTTAATATGCGTGGCATAATAACCTTCAGTAATGCTTGTGTGTGTTTTTCGCTCAAGCTTGAGTTCTATGTAGACTGGAATTAGTTGTTAATAGATTAATGTATATTACTTAAATTTCGATGCGCCGATAATACTAAAATGCAAAGCTTGTTTTCCAGTAGGGAATGTAACAATTATATGGTATATCTGTCGCGATCCCAAAGCCATTACTCTCGCCTGCTCACCATTCATAAAGCACGCATTTGCGTTTATTTAATTAAATCTGCAAAGGAAAAATATATATTTTTTAGAATAATTCATACACGCAGCTGACGCTCAATGGCTTGTCGTCATTTTATTTGTCTTTTCACTTTGCTGAAAAGCATACAAATGGCGATAAACCACTTTACCGGTGAACAATATACAACTGTGTACCTACTGAGCTACAGGATATTCTAGCAAATATTTACTTTAAATTGCTCCTCTAAATATGGTGCAGTTAAGGATGTTCGAAATTCGAGAGGTGGCCATTAATTTCTTTAAAAAATTCTGTTGGCATTCATATAAACATACATCCAATTGCCTCAAAATAACATTACTAAAAAAGCAGCAAGAGCCGATTACAGCAATTTCATATAAAGAAAAGTAAATTGCAATTAAATTGAATTTAACTCGGCGTTGGTAGATCGCTTTCTTTTTGTACACATAATTGGGCAACACAGATTTAAAATTAATACACCGTACTGAGCTATGCAGTTCTACATTAATATGCATGTTTAAATGAATTCATTGTTTACGTTATGAGAAGCGTTTTCTAAGTCAAACAAATTTCTAATAATTTTAAATTAAATTTAGCAAAGACCTCTTGATGCGGCATGAAATTTCTCTTGTATGATTTGAAAATTTTTTGAAGGTAGTTCCTGAGCTACTGAAACCAATTCGTTACAGGTCAATCCAGAGGCTTTAATGTAGCAACAATGCACACTATTATAGTCGTCATTAAGTGTGATTTCGTCTCATTATGTACTTTTGTTAAGATTTTAGTTGAGCTCTACTGCATTTTTCTGTTTTTTGATAATTTTTTGTTTTAAAGGAGACAACCAATTTTAGTAAAGAAGTATAACGACAGAACTCTGCAAGAGAAAATCAAACACTTCTGCACGGATACATTCATGAAAACACAAATACATAGGAAACTACTAATGGGAACTCTGTGAAAATGTGCGTAGAATTGCGCTTACCTAACCACTGATGTATGTAAGTATAAAAAGCTTGTAATCCCTTAATTATATATTATTTATGCGTGTCGTTTGTTTCTTATTGCATTAACGTTTTTTATCCACCATGTCATCTAGTGCTGATCGTCATACTCTTGTCGGTGTTGTGCTTGGCGACGTTTCAGTACCTCAGCATCTTCCAGCAATACTTCCTCGAGCACATTCTTATCTTCCACAACCGTTGATTCTTCGTGCGACCAAAAACTAGATGATGTTAGACTAGAGTTTGCACCCGGATAGGAGTCCTCCATGAGTGTACTGGATGCACAACTGGTAACACTGCCTGACATTTGTGAATTTCCAGCACTGGTCTGATAAGTTGCAGTGGTGCCGGCTGAACTCGTATTAGTTTGTTCAATGCAAAGTGAGTCGGCCGATACGTCTTTGTGAAGTTGTCCCGTGGGGAATTCTAAATTTGTTTTGCCGCTTTCGCTTGTGGTTGTAGTGATCGTCTGTGTAACGATGTGTTCTTGTCCCTCAGCATCTGTAGTGGTAGTGGTGGTTGTTGTAGTTGTTGTTAGACCTTCGCCAAGTGTAGTTTCGCCTGTTGGAAATCTTGCCAACAGATCGAACTGCTCATTTTCCATTGAATCGATGCTCTCCTCACGTGTAGGCTGTTTACGGTCAGTTTCCAATGAGTCGATATCCGAACGTGTGGTAGCATCTTTTGAAATTTCGAAACTGCCAATGCTACTAGAACGCATGTCGAGACTTTTGTTGATCTCCAGACTATCTACACTGCCCTTTTCCGAATCCTGTTTATCCAGCTTCATTTTCCCTTCTGATAGCTCTGTTGACATTTCTGTGATTTTTGTCATTGACTCGCGCCCTTCACATTCTTCCAGTTTCTGTTTGAGCAGCGCTTCAATAGTTTGCTGCTGTACCGGCAACACTTCGGTTCGAGTTACTGTACGTGTTACTTTGCTTACAACAATATTGCTTGCACCATTTTCCCGATCACTTTCGTTTGACTTGTTGGAGTCGTCCGACCGTGAAAGCATAGCAGCCTCTTCCTTGGCTTTGATCTCAATCAAGTGTGCTTCTATACACGCATTCTCCAGTCCTTCGAATTCTTTAAGGCTGGAAATTGATATATCATCGCCTTGTGCTGTGGCACTGCCACTATGGCGCACCATATAGCGGCGTGTGAAACTACCGTTGCTGGAGTCCGTTGAACCTTGGTGTGTTTTATTACGATTCTCTAAAGAAATTGCCTGTTCCAGCGATTCGAATTCTTGCAAACTGTTCATAGATAAATCGTCATGTTCGCCACGTGCGTAATATCGCCTTGCTGCCATAGCATCATACTCAGGTGTACTGGAGAAGGAGTCTTTAAAACTACTAATGCGACTACTACCCACTTCGAATTCGCCATCCTCTTCCTTGATATCTTCTAATACACCACCGGTAATGTCGTATGGATAACGCAATTGTGAATCTGTAAGTTGCATTTCAACCCATCGTTTGTTTGAAGCAGCCGTGTCTCCTGAATCACTTTCTTCCTGGGGATCGCTGCTGCTGCCTGCGGTTGGTGGACTTTCTTCGAATTCGAAATTTAGATCATCTCGGAAAATTTGCGAACCTAATTTGGGATCGGCGGGAGCAGATTTTATGATAATTTTTTCAACATCCTCATCATGTTTTGATTCATATTTTGTTGGCTGAATTTTAATGCTCTTTCCACCTAAATCAGCTTCATCGGCTTCTTTAGCTACCTCTTCGATTATGACAAAATCGTCGGAAATATCGGGTTGATCAATCATTTCAAAAGAGTCTGGGGAATCTGGTGCCTTATCATAGTCATCGTAGTCTATATCGCCAGCTTGTGGTCGTTGGAGATCCGCAAGCTTTTGTTCGTACTGTTCTTGTACAAGTTTTTGAAATGTTTCCTCGCTCTTATCCATACGTTTTTGCTGGTGTAAAGGTTCATCAGCAGCTTTGTGTAATTCCTCTTGTGTTTTCACTTTGTATAATGATTTCTCTTCGAAACCCTCCGCATTTTCTTCTAAACTTGGCGACTTTTGGAAATCCTCGGTTACCGTTATATCTGGTATATTTGAGTAGTCTTGCATGTTTTGCGAAGGTCGACGCTCCTCTTCAATAGCCTCGGCCTCCATTTCCTCGGTAGCGCTATCCTCAACTATAACCTCAGCCACAAGTTGTGATGGAGTAAATGGACGTTTTTCGAGGTCAAAGCTGTGATCCATTTCAGCGGCTGCTTGTTTCTTCTTGTTCTTCTTTCGTTCGTTTGGTGAGCGAAACTGTCTGGTGTACTCAGATTCATAGGGATCTGTGTCCGATTCACTTTCAGATTCTTTGTTTTCACCCACTACTGGTAGATCCTTATCCGTAATGGATTTTAAAACATCACCAGTGATCGAAGTACTTTCGCTGCGCTTGTGACCGCGTTTACGAGATTCACCGGGTGGTGTTGTGGCGGCAGAGTCTTGTGGAGAATGTTCCTTGCTGTCCATTTCCATAGTAAATGTGTCTTCATGTTCGTGAAATGAAGATGCTTGTTCATCGTGTGAAAAACCAAAACCCTCAATGCCAGTTAGCGAAGATGAACCAGCTGACCCAATCATATCTTCGAAGTTCTCTACAACAGTTTCTATGTTTGACGTACTTGACATGCTAACCGAAAGGATGCTACCCTCATCTAAGCTAGAAGCTAGTTTAGAATCGTCAATGGAACGTCTTATGTCACTGTGATAGAGCAAAATATCTTCAGGCCGATCTGTATCCTTGCCATCGTCTATTTTAGCTTCATCCATGGGATAAGCTAAGCCCCAGGTTTTTTCCACTTCCTTAGGTTTAGGAAACTCTTCCACCATAACGCTTTCGAAATGCTTTTCGTCGGGTTTGGCCTCCTCGGTTTTCGGTTTAAATATCATTTCTTGGGAACGTTTCATCAGTGACTTTTGCATTTGTTGCTCAGTTTTACTGTAATCTTGAATGTTGAGACTTTCATCACTATCCTCATCATCGTCATGTAAGTCACGAATACGTGATAGTTCCTCAGCTTCCAAAGCATCAGGCTCTGTAGAGGAAGCTACCAATGTTTCCGATAGTTCTGAAACATCGATACTTCCTAAATTACCAGATGTTTCGGATTGCGAATCGAAACTTTTCATGCTTTCATGTGAGCTTATCGTCTTGCCACTGCTACTCTCAAGTGTGCTAACTGCGCTTATGTATTCGGTTGCTTCACGCGTTACTGATGACACATCCAATGCTGTTTGATATTCTGAAGAGTTTCCTTGTGTCAATAAATTGTCGACTTCTGACGATAACGGTCGACTGTCACTTTTATCAAAGCTTTTGTAGTAACTCTCGCTAGAGCTCGATTGGTCAATTTCTTGTACCGACCATCTATTCGTGACATCAACAGAGCCAGTTTCAGATTTAATGCGATGCGTAACCTCCTCGAATGGTTTCATTGTTTGTTCCGTACATATCTCAGAAAATACTCGCGTATCACCAAGCTTAGTAACCTCTACCGGTGATCTCCCCAGATCTTCTCCTTCTGTTACAAAGCTAGCTTTGGCTATTTTTTCCTGATAATAATCCTCCATTGAGCTAAAATCTTCGACAGTTTCAGTTGAAACAAAGCCAAGAGAAGCATGTTCCTCTTTGACTGCGTATGCCTCCATTGAACTGTAGTCATCTGCAGTGCCTGTAGATACAAAGCCTAGCGAACCGTGTTCATCTTTTGACTCCTCCTTAACATCATCAACGTTACCTTGAGTATAATGTGTAATTACTGCTTCTTTATTCAGTGTCTCTATTGTTGTTTCTTCAAAAGTATCCTCATATGATTTTATTGGTTCAAATGCTGATGGAGGCTGCGCTTCCTTAAGGGTATCTGGTATTCCTATGAATGAAGAAATATATTCTTCTTCCAAGAATTTAGGCTCCTTAGTTTCCTTTTGCATAATGCTTTCTTCTGTCAAATTTTTTTCTTTTTTCTCTGCGCTAATCAGTGTGTTAGAAATCGAGCGAAATTCAAATTCGGATGGCGATTCTTTAATTGATTTACCATCTTTCACTATGAACTTCAGCTCGTTATTTGCCGCATTCAATGATTCCTGCGCTTCCTCCAATGTTCTAGCAACCATTTGCTCATCAATTAAAGCTCTCGGCAATTCACTCAGTTGCTGTGGAGAATGTACTACCTTAGGTTTAGCTATTGGTATTTCCTTCTCTGTTGTTTCCCATTCACTCTTTTCTAATTGCAAGTCGAGTTTGTCGGATTTTGCGGAACCCAACTTCAAAGATTCATAATCGTCCAATGGTTGCGTTAAAATGGTTTCGTTTTTTTCATCGAATGGTTGGGAAATATCAGCTGTAATTACAAAAGTTTCACAAGATTTGTTCGCATCATCCTGCTTTTCCTTTGTTGGTTCTTGTTCTAGCAAGTCATTTCTTGTTTCGGAGCCTTGACGTACTATTCTGTTTTCCCCTTCATCTGTTTCACGCTTCATTGTTACAAATTCCTTAAATACGTCATTACTTTCATCCGAATCGACAGAAACCTCCTTCATTAGTGCGACATCCTTCGCTTCGATTGCTTCCTCCAAGGCTTGATCTTTTGTAGTTACCGCTTCTGGGGAAGACTCTATATCAGTGTCTGGTTTTGTTGGTGTTGTCTTAATTATCACATTACGGCTGGATTCTCCAATATAAAAACTCGTTTTTGCTCTGCCTTCAGAGAGCTCAGACTTTTCTGTGTCTCCTTCGGCGTCATCTATTGAAATCTCACTAGTTGGTTCCAGTGATTCTGTACGATCCTCGGAAGCTGTTGTAATCGTTGTAGTTGTGGGGTAATCCCGCGCATGTGATGATTTAATTGAAATTTCTGTTGACACTTCATCTGTTTTCGAAATATCGTCGGTGATGTCCAAGCTACGCAGGCTAATACTATCCGATTGTTCGTTTACCAGAGCAGCTAAATTCTTGAAAGAATCTGTTGGTTTCATTTGTAAACGTGGCTTAGGCACGGGAGCAGATATCGACAGGTCGGGTAAGATTTCAGAGGAGTCGGTAATACTGTGTGCATCATCACTTTTTTGATATTGCGTCGATAAGTCGTCGCCAATATCTCTCACGGGTGAGCTTGATTTGGCGGCGCGTGGCTTCGGTGTGGGTGCATCATGTCCAGTTGGGGCAGAAGTCGGCGCACTAGTTGGTACTGGAGTGGTTTCAGATGATTTAGCGAATTCAAAGCCTGTCTCTACAAAGGTAATAATAAGTGTGAAAGTAAAGGTATTTCCAAAGTATTAAAGAAGAATAAATAAAGTTTGAAATGAAAGGAAAATAATAAGCTAAACTAAATGGATAGATAGAGACAAATACAAAGTGATTATTGAAAGCATATGGGTTATATTTTGAACAGATAAATTATATATATTTCATTTTATATAATTTAAAAACAAACAACTACTGGCAAAGAAAATACAATTTGTTTTTTTTTTTTTCACATGCAATATAATTGCTCACCTTTTAATGGAAGCAAAATAATGATAGCACTTACCAAAATCATAATATTTGAATATGCAATTAGAGCTCAACTTTAACAAAACCTAGCTTTTACTCTTGTAAAGAAATCACTTCCAAATTTAACATATACGTAGCATATTTAAATAAGCAATGGTTTGTAAATTTTTAAGTTTAGTATTTTTAAAGACAGTTGCAATGAGGTATTACATCGTATTGTTTTTCTTTAAGACTAGATCATATTTTGACTGTCCAACGTGGCTTCAGTTTGTTGCTCGGTTGCTCCGAGTTGTTCAACTTTCAATTCGTGTTTTTGACCCTATTGATATACTTGGTGAAGATGAATGTGATTTTCATAACTGGTATGGGCAAGCGTTTGGGGGATTTTTGACGATAAAAATACTATATTTTTGCCGTTATCAAAAATGCACAGATTGGAGGCAATAAGCTCAAATATACGTAAAATATAATAGAGATATTTTTCTTAAATCATTGCCACTTCGAGTCTCATTTACCGAAGTATATTCCATTTTCGTTCGTTGTCAGTCAAGATTGTCACACTTATGTAATCATTATCATAGCGATAGCTGTTTATATACATTTTTAATACTTATATTGATTGGGATGACACAAATGGTCGATATCTTTCCGCGCCAATAGAAAACCTGTCGATATTTTAACAAGTAAGGAAGGGTTAAGTTTGGGTGCTACCGAACATTTTATACTCTTGCAACTTGCAGGAATTAAAGCCAGAAAAATATCTTAAAAACATCAACCAGAGAATCGGAATCCAAGGAATTTTATAAATACTGCATATAAGTCATACAATGACCGATATATTCGGCACACTGTTTGTTAGAAAACGAAACTCATTATATGATATATATGGGAGTTGGCGTAGTATCGACCCGGTCTGTTAACTGTTATCAAGCCACATACAAAAAAAATGTTTCTTGGATTTTATTAAGGTGCCTCCCATACAATCAACAATCACATGAAGTAGTTAGCTGGATGTTCGAAAATCGTAAAAATTAGTTATATAGGGGCTCTGCAATTTTAATTGAGATAAGTATATTAAATATTGGCCGATATATGCAGCATAATGTCACCCGGAATTTCGAAAGTCTGTATATTAAGTAGAGGGCTCAAAGAAGTATTGACCCGACTCAACTTCTTTTTGATACACAGTGTTACTATTATCAGCAAAGCATTATCTCTGAATTTCAGTTGTATATGTCATACATTGTCCGATGATTTCGGTCAAAATTCAACGATACTGGAATCCACATTATCGGTACCTAGGGGCTTGAACAGTTTTGGTTGAATTTGGGAAGTTTTTGGTCATAAGGTGGTATACTTTAAAGGAATTATTAGTGCAATTTTGATCCCGTTATATTAATTCCTTCTTGATTTGTGTACTGGAAAGTGAAATAATCAAATGGAATTTAGTATTGTGTTATATGCGAAGGAGGCGAGGCTGCAGTCGATTTCGCCTATTTTCGCACTGTGCATAGGAATATGAAAAAAATGCGTACTAAATTTAATCGAAATCGATTGGTCGAAATATGTGATTCCACCAAAAAGTCCATTGTTCAATTTTCACACCTCCGACTCCCATAATCTTCTCTTTACCATTTCGTAAATTTAATGTCTCCTTAGTATATGGGGCCCACTTTTAAAAAATTTCTGCCCACAGGTACATTTTACTACTGCGGTCCCCTGTGAAAAATTTGAGTTTTATATCTTAATTTAGTGCTTAACTATGGCACTTTATAGGTTTTCGGTTAATGGCGTTTTGTGGGCGTGGCAATGGTCCGATTACGCCCATCTAAAAACTCGTCCTTTTTTTAGGCAAGAAACGCGCATAGTTCCATCAAGATATCTTAATTTTTTACTCAAGTTACAGCTTTCACTGACGGACGAATGGCATTTTCAACTTGTCTCCTCATCCCGATCATTTGTATTAATATAACCCTATATCTATCTCGATAAGTTTTAGCTGATACGTACAACTGTTCGATGAAAAAAACTATTATACTCTGTAGTAACATGTTGCAAGAGTATGAAAGTAATTCGCCACCAACGAATTCTGAGCCGCTGCAAGTACTACTTTTGCATGAGTGAACTCAAATAATGCATGTGTTATGTAAGTATTTATGTATGTATGTATGCGTAGTATATACTATGAGGGTTGTAATACCTGTTGCTATATCTTGAATATCGTTATCTGGTGTATTTTGACCGATTTCGCCCAAAGTGTTCGTGGTGGGCGACACACTATCGTCCCAACTCATTTTCGAAAATTCACTTTGCAAATTACTTATCTCATCGTCCTGCACCATCGTATCGAAATTCGCATCGAACGCCGATGCTTGCTCGTCAATATCAGCGAAATTTGTTGTGAGCTTTTCGAATTTGTGATCAATGCGCCGAGACTTTGTAACGCGGGAATCTTCGGTAACATGCTTGGGATCGCTCGTACCTATAGGTATGCATATATGGTTAATTTACACCACAGTCTCTAAGCGAAAATATGTTTGTGAGGATGTATATATGTATGTGATAGCAGTTATATGTTGATGAGTAACCTAAGATTGGGGGGACTATGTACACACGGCACTTTCGATCTCTGGTACGTATGTATGTATATGTATGTTATCTATAGCTTAGTCTGTGTGCTTAAACATAATATGCCTATGTGTATGCTTGTATGTTCTGTGCCTTGTCAAAATTACCTTTTATCTTCCAGTCTGCCTCTTCTACAACAGCGTCAACAGCATCAGCATCACTAATACCACCACTACCAGCAAATGTGGTAGCTTCATGTAGTGTTGTACCAATTTGCGTAGTAGTTGTTGTTGTTAATGTAGTTATAGTTTCTGTTGCTGTTATCGGCTTGAAGCCATCTTTGGAATCAATAAGATCATGTGAGCGTTTTTGCTGCTGTGTTGTGCTGGTGGTGGTAATTGTGGTGGTTGCAAAGCCGGGCACTGCACTGACTTGCATGTGGTGCTGCTGCGTGCCAGGCCACTGCTCGTCAGTAAAGCTCATATTATCGTCGAACGATTTCCCAGACATTGATTCAATAGTTGACGATTTGATGACATCCAAGCCACCAATATCATCACAAGTTATAGCATAATTTTCACTTTCTGAATTATATTCCTGCTTAAGTGAGTCATAGCCATTGGCTTCTTGTTGCTGATGCTGCTGCTGCTGTCGCGTGCTAATAATGTTAATGCTCTCTTCGAGCACGTTATCAATCAGCACTGCAGCCTCTTGGCGTATGTTGGTATCAAAATGGAGGATCTTTTCACCACCAGCCTTTCTACTTCTATCTTCATCTTCATCATCATCATCGTCATCGTCATCAGAGTATTTTTCATAATCATCCTCTACATCACTATATTTATAAAAATTATCTTTGCTGCCATCAGCATCTGCATCAAAATCAATTAATTTTTCAATTACATTATCTTCGGCTGCCGCGTAAAGGATTTGTTCTTTAACTTCGTCGCCTGCAAGACAATTGCATATTGCATATACAGTATGTAATTGCAACAATAATCCAATACTTTAAGCACCATTCACATGAATGTAAGTAATTACAGCAACATTGCAACATATTTGGCAACAATATATTTTAGCTTGTTCCACATTGTTAGTCAAAGCGTGCAAATCCATTTTTTAATGCAATAATGAGTTAATGAGCGTGAAATGTCGTGTTTTACATACATATAATGATAATGCGTTGTGTTGACATGTGAAGCTTAAGAAGCAGTGACTAAGCAAGCCTCAAATTATGTAAAATGAGCCTAACGCTATTTAGTTGCGTGCTGAATCGATTTTCGCTATTTTCGACATTAACCAGATAAACGCTATTCGTCTCTCTCGAGCCTGCAATGTCTTTCATTTATACTAAAAATATCCTTAACTACTCAAAAGTGATCCGTAACGTTTCCAAACAAGCACATGAACCTATCCATATGTAATTCTCGAGGCATTAAGCAATGCGAATCCGGTTGGTGAAAGGTATACGTGAGCACATTATTCGTACAAACATATGTATTTATTATTAACTTAACAATTTTTTTATATTTAAATAAGAAGTAATCACAATTTTCAAAATTTTTCAAGGCACTTAAGCAGCTGAACTGGTAAATATTACGACTTTTTATTCAAACGTCGACTTCACCTTTATGCCTTTTCCCACATTTGTACTTCTTTACATATGTACGTATGTTAGTATGTGTATGCATTTGTATATGTACATATGTAGGTATAAGTTTGGTATGAATAATAAATAGTAGAATTGAGTGTATAATTCCGTGTATGTTGTAAGAACAACGCGAGATCGCCGAGATCTACAAGTAGTACGAAATCATATATTAATGCCCCAATCGCACTATATTCAACCAAACTTCAGCAATGATTGTCGCCTGGTTTTGTTAAATTTTGCTCTAATTGTTTGCAATTTTGGAACTTAATAGAAATGAAATGTGTATGAGTGGCTTAAGAATCAAAACTAAGTAAATGCAATGTAAAAGCGTGCCATTGTGGTGTGATTAATATCGGTGTATGGGTAGACTAAGTAAGTGGTTGAAAATGCTTATATGGATATACATGTAGTATATATGTACGTAAAATAACAATTTTAGAAAAGAAAATAATGCGCACAAACATATATACGTGTTGTGGTTGAGCCTTTAACTCTTAACTTACCAATATTTCGGAACGAATCCTCATCTAAAACGAGCTTTTCTTCTACGGTTTCTATAAAAAACACACGCAAAGTAAACAATGTTAGCATTTACTATGAATTGATTTGTTTGGGAGTTCAAGAGACTGATATGAGGTGAGATTGACAAATGTTTGCAGCATAAACATAAAACGATGACCACAAATTGCAATGTAAAATGATTTAAGGCTAAGAACAGATGAAGTTATATTATATATATTATAACTACGTACTATGTAAATGCATGGAGGGTTAACGCAAATATATCCAGTGCTTATTACACAAGGCTTTTTGTTAGCAACGTGACTAGACGTTCAAAAGTAATTGGGAGTTTGTTAGTAGTAATGACGAAAACTGACATTCATAATTGTTAGTGTGTGTTAACATGTATTAACTATGTTATATCATTGAAAGAATACTAAAAAGCAATAACGTTGACATCGCTAGCAATATTCAAATATCCAGTTGACTTAGTGTTTTTTTTTATTATTTTTGTTTTAATATATGTATATCAAACTTTTACTTACAAATTATTTTGTTGTGTTTTTGTTATTTTGTATATATGTATATAAATATTTTTTTTTTTTTTTGCTTATAGTTTGTGTTTGCTTTCTTTGTGAACTTCATTGCTGGCTGTATTGGTTGGGTACCCTTTTTAGTTGCCACCTCTGGCAGCCGATTCATCGGATTCAACATATTCGATGTCTGTATGCACATCAAGCGTTTCAACATTTCCTTTCATATGAAGTTTCTCCGCCTCGGCGTTAAAGCTATTGGTGTTCTTCTCGTGTACCACAGTGTAACTCTCGTTTAACAACTCGTTGAATTCAATGCAATTGGAAGTGTGCATGTCATCTGCCACTATATCGCTATCAGCATCGTCGGCATCAGAAGTGCACTGCATATCTTCAATATCGGTATTTGGTAGATTGGTAGCATCGCCAGGGCTGTCAGCGCCCATTGTCAAAGTTTGTAAAATATTTATGTGAGATTTTCTTTGACCATCTGTTTCTATTGTTAGCACAATATTGCTATTACTCGCTATGTACGCCTTTAAAGTCGAACTGCCAATGTCGGAGTCGCACTGAGGTTCATTATCGGATACCTCAGATCCCTCGTCAGCGCTGATATCTTCTATTTCGGTGCCTTTATCAATGCTATCGTCTTGTTGGTGCTTTTGTGCTGCATTCAATTTAATATTTGGCGGCAGACCACGTTCACTCAAATCCATGTCTTCAATGTCAGTACCACCGTCCTCCTTAACTCTAACAACATCTAAGAGTTTTGATTTCCCTTTGCTTAGGCTTCGTGTCTTCAGTTTTTTACGCCTGTTTGTGCCATCAACATAGATTTCTTCAATATCTGTCACCGGTTCTGTGTGGGCGTGCAATTCAAGGCGCTTGCTTATCTGCGGCTTTAACGTCTCATTTAGTACGGTGACTTCGTCTTCAATTAGATTTTCTGCATTTAAGCACTCTGCTATTGAGCCATTTCGCTCCAAGTCATCGGCACATGAGTAATCTTCATCGTCAGTTTGCATATCGTCGGTTGCACTGTTGTAAACACCAAATTGATATTCACGATCTAATGGCATAACGTTCTCAATAGTGTCGCCAAATTTATTTTCCTTAAGGACCACCATCTCACGATGTACTGATGGTAGCATAGCGTCAGATATTGCGTTCGGTTCATTTGAGGATTGTGTGCCGACATCATCACAAAATATATCTTCCACATCGGTAATATCACCGGAATCTTCCCCAGCGGCTTGTAGTATAACCGCTCTGGGTATGGATTTTTGTTCTTCCTCACTATCGAAACTATCCTCCGCGGCAGAGTCATCAAGTTTTTCAACATCTGTTAATACCTCCTCTAAACCTGTATTTGCCACCGTCAGAAAAGCATTTTTATTAAAAGACATAGTTGTCGACTTTCTACGCTGCTGGCTGCCACTGCTGATGAATGCTACATCAATAGGCGGTAAGCTTATATTACTAGCATTATCGTCGTATACCTGGTCATCTTCATCGGATGCCGATTCTGAAATGACAATTTGACACTCCTCTTCATCGCCGGAAATCTCCAGCACCTCATCTTCGGACATGCCACGTGCGCCACCGGGGCCTGCAACATCCGACAGCGCCGATGCGAGCTCACTAATGTCGCTTAGCACAGATAAATCTTCGTATTCATCAGAGTGTTCATTCCCGTTGACAGAACGCTCGCTATCAGCAATGAATACTCTATCCTGTTCACCAACAGTAGTATCTAAGTCAACACATACCGATCGCTCACAACCCTTATCCAATTCGGATTCAGTATTATAGTCTTCACAATCTGTTAGAAAATCACTTGTTTCATTCAAATTTTGTGCTTGCAAAAAGTCCCCCGCTTTGTTTTCCACCCTTTCTTTGGCTTCGTTGTCAACCATGCTTTGTTCGCGCAGTCCATTCTCCAAGAATTCTTGAAGGGATAACTTTAATTCGGGGTAAACATTGCTCCTTTCCCCTTCGTCATCCTCTGAATCAGTGTCATTGTAGTCTTCAATGTCGGTGGCATCATTGTCTTTCTCATTTTGTTTAGGTATATTAAGCGTATGGTTGAAAGCTTTCCGAGTTGGCAATATCTTCACATCAGTCTGACTGTCGAAATCCTCAACGTCTGTCACTTCACCCGTATTAAAATTATAATCCATATCATTGCTGTGGGAATCTTCTGAGCATTCCGATTCCGAATGATCGTTGGTGGTAACGGAAATGATTGGAAGCTTTGTAGACATTTTGATTTCTTTGTTTTGTTTAGGTAGAGTAACTTAAATGTTCTTATTAACAGTTTGAGTTCTGAGTATTCGCTATTTGTGGAAGAGTCAAATTGATTTTAAATTTTGAGTTATTTCCAATTATATTAAACTAAGATAAAATAATCGAAAAAACTATTTACGAAAGCAGTTAAAGCATTGGACGGTATTCATACACCACAAACATCGATACTATAAACTTTGTTGTATGAATACCATAACAGCACATTTAATTAGTTGACGCGTTTGTTGCACTTTTTGAAGCTGTCTGCCTTACACGAGTAACATAGTTATACGAACAAAAATTTGTGAATTATAAAAGTGGAGGAATTAAGTAAGCATACACGTGAGCGGCTTCTTTATGAGCAGGTAACGTTTACTTTACAATTAAATATGGTAGATCTCTTTCCTTATTGAATGATCTTCAAAGTGTACTTCAAGATGCAACTGGCGTATGCTTACTTAAATGGGCCGTTGCAGGTTTTCACAATGAGACTGATAGTCCAGAAAGTACTTTTATTACCAAGTATGTCTATCCAACAGTTTATGAGGTTCTTCGCTTTATTATATTTACGCGGTGTACATACATATCTACAGTTTTTTTATACCCTTGCAACATATTGCTACAGAGCATAAGAGTATTGTTCACCTAACGGTTGTACATATCATCTAAAACTAATCGACGAGTTGAACGTACATGCTGAAACTTGAGTAAAAATTCAGATATCCTGATGAAACTTCCTATGTGCTTTCCGTTAAAAGTAAGGTACGAGTTCAGATTTGGGCGTAATCGCAGTTGTCCGATCACGCCCACAAAACGCCATTAACTGAAAGCTTATAAAATGCCATAACCAAGCACTAAATTTAGATATAAAGCTCTAATTTGGCACAGAGGATTGCAGTAGCAAGGGGCCGCTACAATAACCATATTTGTCTAGTGCAAATATTATTAGTACTCCTACCGTCAGACTGAAAATGGATGAAATCGAAACCGCTCGCTTTTTGGTGAAATCACATATCCCGTCCGACCGATTTCGAATAAATTTAGAACGCGACATTCTTCTCATATTCCTACATTACACTGCGGCAAGATCGAACTACAAACACGCCTACTTTCCATAAAGCATAATTTTAAATTCCATTTGATTCTTTCACACAGAATAAAATTTTGCACTAATAATTTCTTTAAAGTAAAATTCCGAAATACAAACAAAATTGTTCAAGCCAAGAATATATGGACTTCTGTATCTATTGTTGACTTTTCACCGAAAATATCGGTCAATGTATGAGATATGCAACAGAAATTCAGAGAGCGTCCTTTCCTGACAATAGCAACTCTGTGTATGCACTTTATACTGTATATATCGGCCGATATTTGAGTTATCTCAATGAAAATTACAGAGCGAGTTTTACACACAGCAGTGTAACTTTATGTCTAAAATAGATCAAATTTACGGAAAACTTGATCTAGCCCCTATATAACTAATATCAGGATTTTCGAATATCTGGCTAACTTTACTCCATATGATTGGTGATTGTATGGGAGGTATCTTAATAAAACCCAGGGAATAAGAATAAGAGTTAATAGATAAAATAGGGTCGATAGCATCCCAACTCCCATATACTGAATATAATGATTTTCGTTTTTCTTGTTAGAACCTTATATAAAGTTGCTTGGATCCCGATCCTCTGGTTGACATTTTAAGGCATTTTCCTGACTTTGGTTTCTGCAAGTTGCAAGAGTATAAACTGTACGAACTTAGCTCTTTCTTATTTCTTTTACTTGATCTGATCGATTATGTAAAGACAGACGCCGCACTTTTAGATACCAAAATTCAGTGTAATACATTCTATCAAATAAGTACCCGGAAATTCTCATTTTATATTTTCCCGCTGAGAATATTTCAAAATTTTTTTCACCAGGTTGGCACAAATGTTAGTCACTATTCTATCTTCAACTGAAGAATACGTCGACAAACTAAAGGAAATGGTGGTCGAAAATCGTCATTATAATGTGCGAGAAATAGCCCAAATAATGGACATGTCTCATGAGACCACTCGTCATATTTTGGTTGATGTTTTCGGTATACGGAAAGTCGCAGCGCGATTGGTGCCAAAAATCTGAATTTTTTTTTAAAAAGAGAATAGGAGTAAGGTGGCTCAACACATGCTTGAACGTGTAAATTCCGATCCAACGTTCATCGAACTCATCGTAACTGGTGACGAGACATGGGTTTTCGAGTACGACATGCAAACAAGTCAGCAATCATTGGAATTGCGCGACAAAAATGATTCGAAACCGAAAAAACCGCGCCAAAGCGAATCGAAAATCAAGGTGATGCTGACCGTTTTCTTCGATATTCGTGGTGCTGTTCATTTGCTAATGCTTACCGGGGGGCAAAGCCGTCAATAAAGAATAATATCTTGGCGTTATGAAGCGTTTTAGAGAGAATGTTCGTCGCAAAAGACCAGATTCGTGGCGGAACAACAGTGTTTCGATTATTAGATTGTTCGTTGGAAGAAGTGTATTGCATATTCTGAAGGGGGTATAATCAATTTAGATGATTGATAAGCTATTTGTGATTCATTTCAAATTTCGGAGTACTTATTTGACAGAACGTATCTCTAGTAATATAGGCAGTTGATGATATTTATAAACGTTTGCAATAATATTATCGGTCTCATTGTGAACAGAAATAGGTTTTATTAACATAACTAATATTCAGAAAGAGTCCGTTAAGTTAGGATACTTAACTTATATCGTTAAATACTCTTTCACTGAGATACCGAATTGTTTCACTCAGAATATGTACCATATGTATATAATTAAAATATTGGCCTACTAAAGCTCTAAATTAAGTTGTCTAGTCCTGCAATAACTCTTTTAAAGGGTACCTTGTTATACATATTGAACAACATTGAAAATTCAAAAACAATTTTATTGTTCATTTATTTACAAAGTTGTATTACGTGTTTATGTTTCTTACGTTCTTTATATATGTAAATGCAAATATGTTAATAAAAAAAACAGTGTGTATGGTTTGTACGAGTACGCTATCATAGGCAATATGCATATGTATGTTTGACGTTTGTACGTAATATAGCATTTAAATATAATTTCGAAAACACTTAGTCTGTAAACTAAACAAACTTATTCGCAAAAACATGGAAGCTAACTAAATACGTGATAAACGTTTATTTACCTTTTGGCGTATCGTTTTGTTCCGATCTAGAATTTCGCGATGATGTCGGACTTATACTTCCCATACGTATACCGGAGGCGCCGAATTGCATTTGCAGCGCAGGATCCACGGCATAACCGGCTTGTTGCCTACGCAATGTTTCTTCGATTAAGGCTAGTGGACTACGTGTGGCTTTTGGTGAGCTTGGACTTGCAGCTAATAAACGGTCCTGTTCCGTATTAAACATTGGCAAAGCAACTGAATCGGACAAACTGGAATCAGTTGTATCAATGAAACTAACGTCAAACTCGTTTGTACAACGTTGGTCCGCTGATGGTGGCCTGACAATGGACGCTGAATCCATATCACTGTCTGGTTGTCGATAGATAACTTCGAAAGCTTTGTCTGGTCCAAATGTTTTGGTAAAAACTTCACTTGTTAAAACTTTTCTGCTTCCAGAAGATGAGGTAGAACTTTTTGTACTCTCCGTAGATTTGAATGAGCGCGTTATTTCGGCGTCGTCATCAATTATAACTGTGCTGACAATAGCAGCTACTGGCTCTTGGTTAACTTTAATCACCGTAGTGCGTGTGGGTACGGCTGGTATCTTAGATATTTTCGATGTGGTAAAAACAGAATTTTCTGCCAATCGCAGGTTAGCCACATCTTTATCAAGTTTCTTAATATTTGTGGTAGGACGCGTATATTTCCGTACACTACTTAATGAGCCACTGGCACTCGTATTGCCGCTGCCAGTCATGCTGGACTCATTTATAGAATCTTTAATTTTCTTTTGTACTTTCACATCACTTTTCCTAGTTTGGCTTTTCTTCTTCATCTGATCCGTTTTCATTGTGCCACTATCCATTTTTACAACATCTTTATTGGAATTACGTGGTTTTCTGTCGCCCAAAATACTTTCTGATCTATTAGTTTTAGTTATTCTTCGAGTCGTTATATTAGAAGATATGCTAACGGGTACCTTCGACCGCTGCTGGGTTCTTTCGCTTCGTGCTAGGACATTCGTCTCTTCTGAGCTGCCTCGGGTTACGCTTCTTTGCGTGTTTCCGGTAGCCACATGTAATTTTGCGTTATCCTTTGGTCTGTTAATTTTGTGCTTTATTTTACTTTGATTAGACTTATTCAATACATTACTCAATTCCTTACTTGTTTTTGGGGACATGGATTTATCAGTTATTTGTTCACTATGTGCTATCACAGCTTTTGGCTTGTCTACATTGGGTTTTCTATTATACAGTTTTTCAGTGCTTTTTATGGATTCCTTGCTATTAGTGAGTGAGTCTTTTTTTAAATTCGTCAAACTACTTTTAAAATTGAATGCTTTCTCCTCTTTGGATAGGTTGCGTACATATCGTCTTTGTGCATCAGTATGAGTAGTTGAAGAAGTGATAGGAGTAGTTAGCGGCTTACCTTTAGGCTGTAACACTGCTGGTCCAGGTGATTTTGATCTCAACGTTGTGTCCGAAGCTAAGTCTGCTTGTTTTGACGTGGACTGTGTATGTGCGTATCGCAGGCTGTGTGCCAAAGTTGGCTGCATGTATCTGTGCATTACAGTTGAGGTAGGTGTAGTCAGCCGCTTTCGTTGAGCATCTTCACCTGCTGGTTCGGAAGATTTAGTGATTGTCTTTGTTTTGGTTTTTTTGGAAGTAGTCCTTTTATCATATTTTTTGGTTTGCGCATAAACGCTAGTTACGTGAGAGTAGTCGACTTTTGGACGGCTAGATGTTGGACTGAATGTTCTTAGTGTAGCATTATATGGCATCGTGGTTACGTCAGTGCGTGTTCGCGGCCTTGGCGTGGTTGATCGACTATGTGAATTGTCTTCACTTAATCCAACATTCACTGTTTGTGAACGAAAGCTTGTGGACCGGTCAGAACGAACTTCCGTTTTTAGTGGGCTTGGGGCAGCTTTTATAGTAGAAAGTTTTGATATTTCATCTTTATTTTTTAAATGCTTTTTCTGTCTGGTGGATACATTTGCTATTGCTTTATTTTTATTAGCATTATTTTGCACATCTCCAATAGGAGACGCAGCATGAACTTTTTCAGTTTTGGTGTAACCACTATAGTTCTGTAACAATGATTTCCTCACAATATCCTTAGTTTCAACCTTTGCAGAGGAAGTTTTCTTTACATCCCTAGTAAGTTTTTTATTCACCAAAGCTTTCTTAAATTCTTCACTATTTTTCCTATTTAATTCCGACTTCTCACCTAAATTTACAAAATATGCAACACCTCTCTCCTTTCCAATTCCTCCACTAGGAGCAGCCGATCTTTCTAAGCTATCTAAACTACTACATGAATCTAAAATATCTCGACTGTCTGACAAGCTCGTTGAAAATTGCCCACGTTCACTTTCAAACGGAATTTCATCGCTGGTAGTCACATCTGCTCCCGAAACTACAGAAAGCAAAGGGCGAGGCATCCTACTAATTTCAAGAATATTAGGCTCATCACATTCATTCTCTAATTCATCAGAAGAGCACACATGAGGAACAGACTTGGCAATGTCAAGCGGAGATTTCGGTTTGTCTTCCGGTTTTGAAATTGCATGAACGTCTTTGTCATCAGGTTTGCCTACAGACGGCACTAACGGTAACGCTTGTTTCATATCAGCGACTTTTGGTTTGTCAAACCCTTCCTCAGATTCTTCAGAAGAGTACACATGCGGAACAGGCTTGGCAATGTGAAGCGGAGATTTTGGTTTGTCTTCTGGTTTTGAAAATGGTTGAGTGTCTTTAGTATCTTTGTCATCTTGTTGTCCTAAAGACGGTACTAAGGGTAACGCTTGTTTCATATCAGCGGCCTTAGGTTTGTCAAACTCTTCCTCTGATTCATCAGAAGAATACATATGAGGAACAGGCTTAACAATGCCAAGCGGAGATTTTGGTTTGTTTTCTGGTTTTGAAATTGGTTGAGCTTCTTTAGTGTCTTTGTCTTCTGGTCTGCCTACAGACGGTACAAGTGATGACACCTGTTTCATATCAGCTACTTTCGGTTTGTCAAACTCTTCCTCTGATTCATCAGAAGAGTACACATGTTGAATAGGCTTAGCAATGTCAAGCGGAGATTTTGGTTTGTCTTCTGATTTTGAAATTGGTTGAGCATCTTTAGTGCCTTTGTCATC